TTCAAGGTAGAGTGCCAGTAGGAGTCGATTCGCTGGGATTGCGTACGACGGTTGCTGGCGGTTTGGGTTTAACAGGGGGCAATGAAACACATACAATTGCAGTGAATCAACTGCCTTCACATTCACATGACATCGGCTCCATTTCGATGTCATTAAGTGGCAATCACTATCATTCGATCAATGATCCAGGACATAATCATGGTGGTATAACGGGAAGTTCAGGTTTTTTGAATGGAAATGGCAGGTGGAATGCAGGCAAAGATGGTTGGAGAATAGGAGAAGGTACCCATTCACATTCGATTCCGACTGGATATACTGGCATAAGTATGAATAATGCTGGCAGTCATAGTCACACGTTGTCTGGAGAAACTGGATCGGTTGGAGATGGCAAGAAATTCAGTTTAATGCAGCCATATCAAACGGTGAATTATATTATATATACTGATTGAGTGAATGAAGTTGTATCTTCAAATTAACTGAGGCATTATGGAAAGCTTTTTTTAGTAGATGCGGACTTTTCTGTTGTATTTCGCTTTTATTTAAACGATTTATAAACTTTACTAGGCCGCTTTAAACTATATCACACAGATGAAATTTTTTAGATAGGTTCATTTTCAACTAATCTAAGTCATTATTCAGCTTTACCCTGCACACAGCGGGTTTTTACACATATCTTATCGTACATTCTTTTCTTTTTTCCCTCGACTGATGACTGGATCACATGAAATAAAGTAAGTTTGTGTGTGTTTGCTTGCACGTGTATACTTACGTATTCACATGTATTTGTGAAAGTAAAGAGTAACTATCTACGGCTATGGAGACTATTTTGTGCAACCCCTTCATCAAATTAGGCTTTTTCGTGCTACGGTCTCAGCCAATCAAAGGCTTTAGCTGTCTAGCTCTGGTCCAATAAGATTTTTTCAGACTGAAAGTTCTGTCAATCGGATGCTTTTACAGTCTAGCTTTCGTCGAACCAGTTGTTTTCAGGGTGAGATTTCAAACATTCAAATGTTGTTTCCAGAGAAGTTCTGATCTATGATATTTGTCCACATTATCAAGGACACCAAACATAATTTGCTTCTCTGAAAGAAAGGATCATGGATAGGTGTGGGCGCGAATGCAGCTCTTCTCTTAGCACTCACTTACACTCACGAGGGAAGGTTCCTAGGTGTTTCCCTGGGATTTCTACGAAAACTGTATGATTTTGTCAACTGAAGTATTCTGATCTCAAATCTGAAAAAATTAGCAGATGAGACCGTTCTTGTAAAAAAAAGTTGTTGTTAGAACATTTTTTGACCAGACCCTGCGAGGAACCAGGGGTAAAATTTTCGACAAAAAAACAGTTTACAATGAAAATTGAAACACTCATAAGTGGACTCAGTTTTCGGTGTCCATTCCAAATACGTTATTAGTTTTGACTCAAATAGTATTTTTTCTGACCGAACTCTGCTGGGTATTAGTCAAAAAGGTACAAAATCATGTATTGAGAATAGTGTGCTATGAATTTCTTAAGTGGTTAGTATTTTTGGAGTTTGAAAAATATACCGTTCTGTAGCGTTTCAAAAACACTATCGATTGATATATGGATATTTATGTGAACCAAGCGATGTGGTTCTTTTTCGTTCGGAAGGACAACTAGCAGAACAGAATTTTTAGGTAACTTGCCGTTACCTGCCAATAAAGTGACAATTAGAAGACGCCGCCAAAGGACGGGAGCACATAAGGGGTGAAATCGACCCATTCTTGAATTACTAAAATTCATGCATATTTCATTGCAGAATGTTCCTCTGAGTCGTTTGGTAGTACTTTCAAATTGACTCGATAATATTTAGGACAATAATGATCCAAAATATTACCCTTAGCTTATCATCATCGAAATCGTGAGATATCTTTGCACAGCGATATCACTTTCAATTCAAGACGGTCTCATTAGATAGTGCATTGAATTCTACATCGATTCATTTAAGAATAAGCCTGTCGAAAAACTTTTTTGGTGTCTTCTATTGGTTATTTCATTGGTGATTAGTAGTTGTGTAGCTAAAAATTCTGTTCTGCTTGCTGTCTTGTCGACCGAAAAAGAACCACATCGTTTAATTTGTGTAAATCTTCATATACCAATCGGTATCGCTTTTGAAACGCTACAGAACCGTATATTTTTCAAACTCCAAAAATACAGATCACTTAAGAAATTTCTAGAGGACTATGCTCAATACATGATTTCGTGCCTTTTTGACTGGTATCCAGCAGATTTCGGCCAGAAAAAATACGATTTCAGCAAAAACAAATAACATATTTAACATCAGCACCGAAAACTAAGTCCGCTTATGAGTGTTTCAATTTCCATTGCGAACTGGTTTTTTGTCGAAAAATTGACCCCTGGTCCCCCTCAGGGTCCAGTCAAAAAATGTTTTAACTACAACTTTTTCTATCACAGCAGTCTCAGCCGCTAGTTTTTTTCAGATTTGAGATCAGAGTACTTCACTTGACACACCCATATATTGTTTTCGTTGAAATCTCATGGAAACACCTGGAGACCTTCCCTCGTCAGACCCAGACCCACACCCACCCAACAATTACTTAGCATTGCATTTATTGTTTAATAAAGTCTAAATAAAAAGAAATATAATTTAATCTAATACACAATTACTTATTATTAGGTTTATTGTTAAATAAATACTTATAATTTAATCCGTTGTTTGATTATACTTCCATATTTAGAAGGTGTTGCTATATCACATAATCATTCTTTCCTGACTTTCAGATCGCTTCCTTTTTTTCTAAGCTATTATCTACCACATTAAAACTTTTGAAATATCTGATGTTTATCGTCATTCAGGTACCGTCTAGTACTCGGTTATGAGTTTTTGCAAATATAGAATTTCATACGTGATTTATTTTTTAAGTATATGGTTTTCCTTGAAAAATGAGGCAAAATATAGAATGTTTTACATATCGATGTTAATGAAAGGTTCGATTTAATGACTTACTCTGTTAATATCTTTTCTGTAAAGCATCATTTATTGGAAAATTTTAAATCAATATTCCTTTTTTCGATTTACGCGGAGCAGCCTTGCTATAAATAGAAAATGAATTAAACGTCTGTAACTCTTAATTACTAGGTCATGGGCCTGAATCTTTTTAGACTTTTCTTCGATTATTAGAAACCTACTCACACAGTGGGCAACTGTTGTAGTGCAGGCGAATATGTAATTCTCATGCTTGGAAATAGATTCTTATCGCTCAGAAGTCGTTACCTACACTTAGAAAATCACCTTTAAGAAACTATGCCACTTGTTCGTTCGCACTACCGACGGTAACGCTTACGACTTTTGATTTCAGTGATATACGATCACAGAGATTGTTTTTTCTACCCAAATTCGAATTATTTATTCCAAAGAAATTGAAATTAACCGAGAATAAAACAGTATCAGAATATATTTTACTAGTAAAAATCTGTGCACCATTATCTATAATAAAAGACTTGTCTTATAACTGCAATCGATTTGGATTCTGCGGGTAGTAGAGGTGAGCCAGACACATCAGCATTAACGGATGGCAGCGAAATCGACTCAATTCTGTCAGGTTTAACAGATTTCAGAAATATTTACTAGTTTTGATACGATACAATATGACACACCACTTTCAAAAATAATCGTCGATAGAGTGCTCATTAAACTGATCAACAAGCAGGTGATTATTTCCCGGTTCAAATCATATGAGAAAATGATTTTCCGCAGAAATCATCTGTTGAAGATCCTTTTACACGTTTTTTGACGACATTCTTTTGTTAGTCAATTTGTTGTGCCACAGGTCATCCGATGCAATTTCACACGTGGATTGTTAATATCGTCTTCTTTTGCGCTAAGATGCTGCTTTAAGAAGAAAAACCGAATTTCAGGTAAAAATCCAGAGTTTGTTCAGAATCAAGAAATCCAACAAATTTTTGGGAATCCTTTTTCACATAAGACGTAAAACCTTTTTTACAGTGAAAAATAAATGCTCCATATGTTTTCGACACAACTTCACAAGCTGATTCTAAGTATTACCTTGGTTTTGTACCGAAATGATCTGTCGTTTGTAAAAATAGGGATTTCAGGGCAAAAACTTCAGTGTTTAGGAGATTTATGGCACCGACTGTGCTTATCAGTGCATTATAGTGCTATGGTTAACGATGAACTAAAGATGTAAGAATAATTAGTGACAGGTTGAGATAAGCCGAACCTCAATTGTTTTTAGCCTTTGCAAAATATGGTGCGACCAATTTTTCGATCTATTTTTGACCATGTAGTCACTTTTTTTCTATTCCATTTCTGACCCTATAGAAATAATTTATTATACAATTAAGCTTATGAGACGATTGATCGTTTCAAATAGTGTTTTTGTTTTAAAATTTTTCGAAAGCTTGGTAATACAAATGATTTCTGTACAATTACCGATTTATGGAGAATTCTTTTATGATGAACTTTTCCAGCATTCCGCTTGATTTCTGGAAATCGTATTTTCTGGCATAATGGGTCAACCATAATTGTATTAATTCTAGTATATGAACTTTGGCAAAATGAACTTTCGATCATGTTCACCTCGTTGTCCGCTGTGCACCATCTCCCTGGTGATGACTTAATATGCAAACAATCCTCAGCTTGTAGCGTTAATTGACTAAAACAGCGTAATAGCTCCACCACGTGCTTTTGTGGAATATGACTGTCGGTCGAAAAAAGGCTTTATGGAGATTCAGTGGATAATATTAGATGCCAAGATCGATTTGGCCCTGATGAATATTGATGTATCAGCAACGGAACAACAAAATTATCAATGGAAAATTCAATCTGAGCAAATTAATGACATGAAAAAGATAATTGAAATTTATCCATATGCAATTGAAACATTAGGACGAGCATTGTCTGTAGTGCGAATAAATGCAATGTTCATTCCAACATCTTCAGCAATATTAATAGAGTAAGTAGATGACCACAATTTTGGTGTATATTAAAAGTGAAAACAAGTTCCAGTTGCAATTGTTTTTAGATTAAATGTAGGACTGTAACAGTTCCAGTTCGAAAGAACTGTTACACTCCTAATTAACAGAAGCTGGGTTTTAGAAAAAACTTTATTCTACATGCTAACACGTATTAACAATTGCAAAAGGAGCCAGAATATCTTATCTAATTTATCCATGGAGAATAATATAATCATTTTCATTGTTCTAGTATGCACTTACTGAACAATGACGACGACGATGAATTAAAGGGTAAGACTTATGACTTTTAATGAACAATCGTCTGGATTTTTTTTTAAATCCAATTTGTTCCTATGATCTTACTTTTCTCTGAGAATTATTTGAAACTCAACTCAACAATCTATTAAAGAATAATTCATAAGAAATACGAAAGTAAAGACAACTTCTAGCAGATACTATTAAATTGTTTTTGAAATGCTGGATTTTCTAAGAGAGAAAAGCTGGTTGTAATGAAGGTCATCATTGATAGTCAAGATTATGTTTAGCAGATTTTTTATGTAAAATAATCGAGTTGAATTATGCAGGTGTCTTCAGTTATCAAACTATCGTTAAGTCGACACCATATTGCTGCTTTTAATGATGATTCTTTTTTTGCATGTATGATCAATAAAGATTAGTTTCTTTTTCTCCACAATTATCTAGAAAGAAAAAAAAGTATTTTAAAAATGTGAAATGAAGAAGTAATTAAAATTAATATAACATGTAGAAGATACAAATTACTAGAACAAGATTAGAGACCAATTTATATGAATCACCGCTTTAGCCAATCGAAATTCTTTTTACATGTTTGATCTCTATGATTATACTCCATAGTTTTTCTTAATTAGTCATCACATATTTCCCGTCTTCTGTTTCAGAAAAAGAAACTACTCATCCAAACGAACAAGGTAAAGATTCAACAAACAAACACAAGAAATAATATATTGTTTATTAAAGTCCTCTTCAACGTGAATTTTATAGTTTACCACAAAACATTATTAAATTTAAATTAAGTTAGTTTTTAAAATTTTATTTATTTTTATTTCGTTACATTGATATTTCTAGTTCGATTATAGAAAAAGATTTTGAACATAATGATAATGAATTTGTACCTGAATATACTCATCAAATATTTGGAAGAAAGTAAGTTTAGATAATTGAATAGTACTTAAAATAAAATAAAATATTTAGTAAAATAATATTTGGTTATAAAAATTTAAAAATTAATTTTTATTGTTTATCATCATCATTTATTTTCTGTTTCAATGTAAATTATGACGAAAAAATAAATCAAGAACAAAATCAAGAATTGCAAGTAAAAAAAAGAGCACAATATATATTCTTTTTTTAAAATTATAGTCGTTTTCAAAAAGCAATGGATGTGGCTGTTTTTTGAATAACTTTCGATAGGAACTAGATAGAGATCTGCGGTTTTCATCGTTTAAAAGAGGAGACGAATCTGCATCGAATCTTGAATACCAGACTTTTTTGATAAGTTTTCTCAAGATCTCCTACCAAGTATTTAAAAAACAGCACAGTGTGTAATAAAAAATTGTTAGTATTTTAATTTTCTGTAGTGCACTAGAATCAAGAACTAAAGTTTCATAATCTATGAAAGTTCGATGTTGAAAGGTTTTGCCAGTCATGAGTTATTAACATTTTACTACGTGTTATCGGCAGATTTTCCGAGAAAAATTCACTTATTTTCTAATTTTTTTGACGAAAAAGCCAACTTCTAAACCTATTTAAAAGTCTCGATTTTTAAAAAGTCTTTGCGGAAACGCCGAGAAAACTTATCAGAAAAGTCTGGTATTCAACATTCGACGCAGCTTAATCTCCTTTTTTAAACAGTGAAAACCGCAGATCTCTATCTAGTTCCTATCAAAACTTATTAAAAAAACAGCTACATCCATTGCTTTCTGAAAACGACTACAGTATAATTTCATCTTAAGACTGATGATATAAGTCAATTATTAATTAATTGGATACCATCATCAATAACAACAACAAGTTTAGATTTATTTTTATCAAAAATAAAATATGAAAACGAATATTTACCTTTTGGGAAACAATTATTCAATTATAAATTAAAAGGAGAAGAATCGTCTCCTTATTTTATTTATTGTATTAATCAAAACTATTTTAACAATTCAAGATTTATTGAATGGTTTTCTGGTTTTGAAACATTTGTTAAATTTTTTATTAATTCTGAATCAACTATTAATAATAAAGATTTTAAGATGATTATTTATCTTCTTTATCAACAATATCAAAATAATAATAAACAAATATGTTATACACCTATTGGATTTAGTACACTTCATCTTTATTATGCTTATCCAGATAAAAAACGACCAAGAATTAGGTAAAAACATTTTTTTCATTCTTTGTTTTTTTGAAGACTTGTTTGTTTTTTAGTCAAATATTAATTTTACCACCATATCAAAGAAAAGGTCATGGACGACATCTTTTAACAACAATTTATAATGATTTACGAAAAGATTCTTGTGTTCAAGATATTACAGGTACTCGAGTCTTGTCTATAAGAAAGTCAGAGGTAAATTTCTTCTAAATAAGTCTATTTCAAAACTCAGTGAACCTCTTTATATGTATGTATATAATTCCGATCACTACCTGGTTCTTTTTTTTATTTAATATTACTATTGAAATTGTTTGTTTTGATCCCAGGTCAAAGAGAACGGCGTCGTAAACGGTATAAAACGGGGAAAAAAGGCGCTAGTACGGGCCGTAATCCGTCAGCCCGTTTTACGACCCACCGTTTAGTGCAGTAAACGATCATCGTTTTTACAAGAAACGGCCATCGTTTTCACCGTATTTTAGCCGTAAAATGGGATGACGAAAATAATGCGAAAAGCAATATTGTATAATATTGCATTATATTGTATGG